GATAGTCACTTATTTCTTGCGAGCACTAATTTCCGACACAGCACCTGCCGGAGGATGACTTTGCGCCCACCAGCCTTGGACGCAGATTGATCACATTGCTATTAGTTACCGCTGAAGAGGCTGCATCTAGAATTGTCGCTCGATTTGGAGCACACGTGTGGACACCGATCATGCACTTGTATGTGCTGACATGCAGATGCGCTTTGGCGGACGCCCACGACGATGCTGTGAGCGCATTGACACCAGCCAACTGACAAAGCCAGCTGTTCTGAATGCGTATCGAAGTACGCTGACATGCGAGTTGAGTAAGCGCTCACTAGAGACAGTTGATGGTCACTGGTCACATGTTCACTAGACCTTACTAGCAGCAGGCAAATCTTCATGTGGTAAGTCTAATAGCCAACATGGATATTGGGTCTCTTCGCGGTTTCTGAAAATTATCGATGCTCGCCGGCATATGCTGGCTGGACGCGAACACAATAAAACTCGCATAGAGCTCCGGGCAAGACTCCGTACTAGCCTGAAGAGACCGCGAATCTTGGTGGTCTCATCGTGCGTCAGAGATGGAAGTGGCCGCTGCCCTTGGCAACCATCGTAAGTTATTCCGTCTGATATGGGAAACGTGCAGCAGGAGACCTGGTGTTAGTGAAACTATACGTGACGAGAGTGGACAGCCTATCCACAATTTGTCAAAACGTTTAGAGTGTTGCGCTGGGCATTTTGCGAAGCAATTTAATCGGCTGGAATTGTTCGGTTCTTCGCCGGCCAGTGATCGCCCTGCTCCGTGGGCTGTCCCTTTGGATCCGCCCTCTCGCTCAGAGGTCAAACGTGAGATCGGACTGTTGAACAAAGCTGCGGGACCGGATGGTCTTCCTCCAGCCCTCTTCACATTCGGAGGCTCTGCTCTTGTTGATGCTTTGCATGAATTACTAGTGAAACTGTGGGAGCAGGAAACTGTCCCAACTGACTTGAGCCTCTCCGATATTGTTCCAATCTTCAAAGGAGGCTCGCGTTTGGAATGCGGCAACCATAGTGGAATTAGTCTGATCTCCATCGCCTCCAAATTACTCTCCTCCATAATTCCTCACGGACTGACTGGCACTCGTGAAAGCCAGATTCGTGAAGAGCAAGCGGGGATTCGTCGAGGTCTTTGCTGCCTTGATCACATCTTCACCTTGCGTCAGTTGTTGGAGCACCGCGACACATATTGGTGGCCCACCGTAGTCGTGTTCCTCGACATCAAAGGTGCCTTCGATTCGGTTGATCGATGTGCCCTTTGGAATTGTCTACTCAAGAAAGGTGTACCCGAGAAATATGTAAATATTATTCGAGAATTATATCCGCGTGGCTCAGGCAGAATGGGAGCTTACGATAAGCTGTCGCCACCCTTCAATATCTCCAGCGGTGTGATACAAGGATGCCCGCTGTCACCTTTCCTCTTCAACTTCACTATGGACGAAGTCATGGAGGTTGCATTTACAGGACATGACTTGGAAGGTGTGGAGCTACTCCCAGGAGAACGACTTTTTGACTTGGAGTGTGTAGACGACATTGCCCTAATCTGTGACAGCTCCCAGACGTGTCTAGCGGCACTGGGCAGATTAACACTGGCAAGACAAACCTGACCCAGTGCAGGTTCTAACAGCTGAGAAGAAAGAACTATTTATAAGATTACCTTTCAAAGGAGACGCAGCCGCCGAACGTCTCACCAGAAGCCTTTCTACAGCCGTTAAGTCAACTTTTCCAGCTGCTAAGCTAAAGTGCACTTTCTCAACGGAACCCCTCATTCGCATTTGCAACAAAGACAAGTTGCCGATGCTGACCGCTTCTATGGTCATTTATCAGTTCGAGTGCGCCTGTGGCGTCGAACGGCACGGCACTTGTCAGAGCGCATTAATGAGCACCTTCCACGCTGGTTGCGTCGAGGCGGTACCGGGGCTATAACTAGCTCCGTTATGGCTCATCTAGTTGATAGTGGGCATGAAGTCGATCCAGTCCGCGCCTTTCGAATACTCTACAAGGTTCCGCCACTCCAATCGAAAGGCCTGCGTCTCCGCACCCTCGCTACAGCTGTGGTGATCAGTATTCGGTTGTATCAACCGCTTTTGTGTTCACAAAAGCAACTGATCGAAGCTCTTAAGTTACCTTAGCCAGATAAAATAGACGCTTCGGAGGCCAGAAGCAGTCATTTGACTGCATCTTTGCCCTAGTTTGCGCTTATTGTTTACATTTATTGCTGGTTTATGCCCGCGGTTGGCATGTGATCAAATTTCATTTGAACTGGTCGAAACCACTGCTACTCCCATTGCTCTTTACCCATATGATTGTAAAGGTCTGAAGATGAATTCACCGAAAACAATTGTTTACCTTCGGTCACTTGTTCTTTAAATTGTCTTCATACCTTGGCTTTTGAGACTGCCAGCTTTACCTGCCATCCGATCCAGTTTGCTATTGAGGGTCGATGCATTGCGAACCTTACTGTCTCGCCTTATCTAACGATCCACCTACTCATTTACCAGTGAATTGGTTCCAAGAACACACGATTAATCCTAACTCCATCATTTGTCCTGTCCATGAACACAGCTTCTGATAGGGTAGCTTGCCTCGCTGTATGTTCCAGACTTTGAAGCATTCTATGGGTTTGTTACCACCACCGGGACGATTTGTTTCGAATTTTCACAACCTCTTTCCAATGCATAGAGCGTTTCCTGAGTTGCTTGCTCAAAACGCGGTGCTCCATGCTTGATTTCCCCCATGTTTGGGTTCATCAGGTGGGGATGGTCCGAAGTGGTTATGGAATCTGGCACGCGGTGGATGACGGCCGACTTGCTCATTGGGCCCCTGAGCTCCGCGAAACGCACCTTTTTCCGAGAACTCGGCATGTATCATAAGCTAGATGATGTCACTTTGCTTATGGTACTCATTATGGAATATTTCCCACTGTTTGAATATTTTCACTTCGGAGACAGCTGAACAGCGGGATCCATAGCCGTCCTCATGAGAACCTTTATGTCTTTCATAGGTTGGTAGCCGATGAGTCTTTCGTAGTATTCATTCTTTCTCCCATTCACCCCCTAAAACCACTCTATATTTTATCTAGTATGCATGGCAACTAAAGTTGATGTTCCCTACATGATGCTTCTTCACCGCATTCGGGCTGAACCGACTTGCACTTAAAATATATCTTTTTAACTTGGATAAACGTTATTCCACTTTATTTGATTTATTCAGCTCTGGTATTTTGCTGTATATTCTGTGTCAAATTTTCATGTTTGCTATTCCTGAGATTCTGCGTTGGTTGTTTGATATCCCCGGTGTGATTGCGCTTGATCTGAATGTTGGAGAGGTACCAACCTGTTTAACACCCTCCATTTCGATTGATGGCTCCAGATGCTGGACGGGAACGGGTCGCACTTTTCTCGTGGCCGTGCTACGCTCCATCCAGTGTGGAGCGGACTAAGGCGCAGTCACCTCCTTGCGTGCATCTTTTGCGCATGATTCTCTACATAGATATATAGGAATGCTGCTACTTCTGTTGCTGCTGTGCATGTTGAAGGAATGTGGACCGGCTCCGTTGATAAAACCTGCCTCCCATCTACATGTCTCCCGGTTTTATTCCATCGGGTTTACACTAGATATGAGGTGTGTGGATGGAGCTGTGAGTATATATATATATATATATATATATATATATATATATATATATATATATATATATATATATATATATATATATATATATATATATATTTGCAAGAGTCTACGAATAGACATAAAGTCATCAGAAACCATGGGGTACAGAAATAGCTAAAGAAAACACAACCCAAAACATCGAAGTTTATGGTTTCGTCAGAGGGCGAGATACTACCCGGTTGCCCAAGCCGAAGTAGGGTGTTGACTTAGGGGACACCTCCGCGAGCCTTTGGCTGAATACCCTGCCCGCAAGGCAGCGCAGCGAATTCAGGGAATCGCGCCCATTGGGAGTCGATGACTGATTGCTCACTTCACACGCCTTTCGTTTGTTCTTTGTCAAACAGGGGCCCAATACTACCCAGAATTACAGCATAAATTAGCTGGAATACAATGCTTCGCCAAGATGAAGCAAGGGGCAGTGACTTTAGTTAGTGGCGAGTCACGTCCAACACGTCACAGTGTTGTTAAACGGAAATATGTGGCTTTTTATAGGGAGAACGCTTGTCAAGCGAAAACCCCCCACGTCCTGGAACACTGCTGTCGAACCATTTGCTGGAACGGGAAAATCCCGAACCACCCAGCTGGCACCACGAGGAGGTTGTTCGGCAAGCCAGCCAGCTGTGGGTAGTGCAGCGCAAGCCACCCATGGTCCCTCTGCATGCACAGACTTGCTGTGGCTGTCCCCATGGAGGCCGCAGTAACAGAGAAATCCAGGACCGGGTGCTTCCAACCATGTCAACATCGATAAAGACTCTTGTCTGTCAGATGCCGGAGTGCTTTGTAAAGATTCGACTTGTTTTGTGGCCTTTTTCTGTGTAACTTCAGTGAACCCAGTATTGCCAGATCTTGTTCCTTATGCAATTATGTGTTGCAGTTAGCTCATTGCGTGAAGGCGGTCGAACTTTAACCTGCGATACTTTTGCCTGTCCAAGCGTATATTAGACTTGATCACGTGGTACTAAGTTTCCGTCCTACGTCTCATATTCTCTTACCTGTAAATGGAATGCGTAATAAACTCGTAACAGCTCATCCCTGTGTTTTTAACTTCTTGTGGTGTGGCTTGATTTAAGCTCTGCCGTTGTTTCCGTGACTTCCTGATGCCGTAAGACTTTGCATCGGAATCATCCGACTCCCGCTCTGTTTGTTCTGTGCTTATTCATACAATTTGCAAGGTCCGGAACATTACGGTGAACCATATTCTCAGTCACTGCAGGTTGTTGCTATCTACTCTTCTTTTGATGTACTCTATGACCTTTGTATATCCTTTCTTCCGTCCCTCCTCGCAACCGTTGTTCGTTGTGTTTCAGCCAGGTGGCTTCTAGTGGCGATACGGTACTCGCGTTGTCCGAATGCGGACGTCTGTTCGCATGGGGTAACAATGAGTACGGTCAGATTTGGCCCGCTAGCGAAGACCTTCAGGTCTGCAATCCGGTCGAATTGCCACTGGAGCCTTGTGTTGTGCCGGAGGAGACCGGACTGGATTCGAATGATGTGAAAAGTATCGGACGAATATGTTCCATCGCTTGTGCTGGCTCGATGTGTTCCGTTCTGAACGAAGACGGTCATGTAAGCACACTTTAATTGATTAACCCGGTTATCAAGTTATTTTGCCCATGAGTAGGAGGATTCTAATCGTTATTTTAATGTTTCCGTCCCAGAAGCTTATAAGCCAGATAGTGCAGCCTAGTTCGGAACAACCCAAGACGCGTTTCGCCCTATTGGGGCTCGTCAGTGGTGCGCATTCCTTCGATCCGCTACTGGGGATCGAACCCATGACTGGTAGAGGCAGGTGCCAACTAGCCAGCAGCTTAAGCTACTGAGCCATGGGAACGTCGGCTCAGCTATATAATTTACAACCTAACTGAGATATGGCACGACCTATCTTCCACTGACACGCAGGTTACTATCTTAACATATGACTGGCTAACCTCTGAAGGTCATACTTTGCTCCTCACTAGACGCTGCATCCATTGCATTTGAAATTTGGAGAGGCTACATTTTATATCACTCATGAATATGAGGATCTTAATTCTACTTTTAATGTTCTTGTCCCAGCAGCTCACAAACTACCTAGCACAGCCTAGTCCGGGAAAGCGATTGTTGTATTTCTAGTCAGCGACCTGAGTCAAGTCAACGATGCACTTTATGCACCCATAGAGAGTGAATATTCAGCCACAATGCACACGCCATTAACGCATAAAATTAATGATAAGCATGACAAACGAATGTGGTGCGTCGGCAAGTTGAAAACTTCACAGTAGTGATATCATCGAATTAGTTTGGCCATTAGTTCCTGTTTGGTTAAATTTCGATCCTCAGAAAACGTGACAAATAGAGAATAACTGACGTACCGTAAGCTCGTGTGCGGGCACGTTTGTCTGGTCAAAGACGTCGAGATACATTGCGACAATGCACCATGAAGGGTGACTGGTATCAGTATTTTAGATGTCAGTTTTTCGCACTGGTGAACGCGACTAATTACAATGATATTAGTAAACTTCAGCATTGGAGTGCGATTACATCGATCAAGATGCTTCAGTGGCCTGTTGATCACTTTAAAATGCCCGTTCAAAGTCCAGGATATGTCACAGGTGAGCAACACACGTCCAGTGTGGTAAGACGCAAACGCTGATAAACCGTAATATCAAATCCTAAGGCATGGGCGAAGGCCTAAGTCGAGGCACAGAACAATAGTCTCCTGACTTTAGTGAATCTTTTGTTGACATAATGGGACCACGGGAGATCACAACTCAGTGTAACTTTTAGCTATTTCACTCACCTACAGGAGTTCAGGATGACACCAACAATACAGAGATGCGGGGTATGCGTGAGGAATTGCTGATGAAGGTTTTCCGTAGACGGCGAGAATAAAAAAACATCTTTACACTTTGATGCATTAAGCAAAAGACAGCGGGATTTGGACGAAGCCGAGAGGTTTTCCAGGAATTATTGCAATTGGCCGTTGAATCTGTGGTGTGATTGTGCACACCAAGGAACACGTCATCAACATACTTTAGCACGATGGCTTCCTTTGTAACGGGAATTGAGCCAATGTAAGTGGGAAATATAAATGGTTACAACACGGCTTCTTGAAGAACATCGGAATTTTCGGTGAAGATCTCTTTCCATAAACCTGTTAGACTGCGTACGGTTGGCAAAATAGTCTGCAAGAAAAAGCACTAATAAGGGTAGACCTCTGTAAATGAGCAGATCGTTTACCAGCAGTTCCCAGTTTACGCAACGGAAAGTATTGCTATAATCAAGGGAGCATATATGCGTGAGTTTGTGTTGCTATCGAGTGATGAATGCATTAAGTGTACAAGGTAACCTAATACATCTAAGCTGGACCTTGAACTAGCGTAGGCAAACTAAACTGGTTCAGTTAATTTGGTTTGAGTGCGCCTCCTTTCGAGGGTAATACGCCCAAATATCTTCAAAGCCACAGACGTACGAGCAATGGGCTGGCGCTTACACCTTCCTTTCTTCGGTACTGGTGTGATACTGGCGCTTCGCAAGCAGTCGGTTGTGTTGATGTAAGCACATTGTGTACATTTCAGTGAATGGCTGTGCTAAGATATTAGCACATTCTTTGAGCATTGTATGAGGTAGTCCGTTTGTGCCGGACGTTTTGCACAACTTTACCCGTATTAATTTCTCGTGGACCACCATACTATCTATGGTTGGTGGTAGTTGTGGGGAGAGTTGTACCGGAGAAGTGTAAGGCTGTATCACTTTCCTGACCAAAATGGTTGCAGTCTAATTCTTCCACACCGCCAGTGTGTAGCGTTGCGAACGACTTCACTTGGGTCTTTCATCATTTCCCATATTTCTCCGTGATGTCGTGCGGCTCATCCTTTCTTACTGGGACAATCAACCCGAGCTACCAGTGTTTCAAGTCAACTTAAACCCATCCTTTACCATTCACTTCACCGTAGGGCAGGAGATGTGGTTAGCTCCCTGACCCAGGAACTTCGCTTACCAAGTCAGCTATCATCCGATAGCATTATGAATTAATTTAGAATGACTGCTATTCATTGCACAGTAACGAGAGTTTTTTTGGCAATTGATGCGTCTGCAATACTCCTTTGATTAGTAGTCGTTCTGTCATTTTTTCATGCTCGTTTTCTCAGCCCTTGCTGAGTACTTCCAACTGTTTAGTAACGCTATTCATTTCTTTGAGCAAAGTGGTTTACCGCAATGCGCGAGCGGGTCGCTCTTTTTACATACTTGATAGAACATTTGTGGCACTTTAACTATTACACAATCCTACTCACGTTTCCAATTAGTTATCGTGTGCAACCACGCCAACATGGCTGCGGTCACTCTGCATCATTAGCTCTTTAAAAGCAACTTGGTTATGTTATCTACTTTTTCAGCCGTCTTTTTAATTGTTGACTTCCGCTGCTTCTCAATGTATCTACTTTCCTTCTTTCCTCACTTCGCAAGAACACTGTGGCCAACAAATTATCTCTTGTGATCAACTTTCGCTTATCCCACTCCCGTGAATAAATCAGGAAATTTTAAAGCTGTATCGGTATCCATGAGACACTGTCCATCCTCAAACTGCATCACCCTTCGGATATATATATATATATATATATATATATATATATACATATATATATACGGTCGATTCCGGTTAATCGGACCACATCGGGACCAGACCATTTTGGTCCTATTAAGCGGCTGGTCCGATTAACCGAAGTTATCCGATGTAACAAGATGGGACGTGCTATATATAACATAGGAAACTACTATTATGACCTGTATTGGCGGCATATATTTATAGCAAACACACAAAAAAGAACTGCTTTGATAACGAACTTTGTTCACTGAAAAAGAAATGTACAAACAAATTCTTCGTAACGACCTACAAGATATTCAGCATGCGAAGTACAGTTTTATACAAAGGGATTACCGAATTCCATTCAGCGTTTGAAGACCGTATCAAGTGTGGTTTGACGCATTCTTTTAACAGACTGCATTCGCACAAAATCACCACTAACATGTAACACAGTAATAGGACTACCTTCATTTCCTTCCTGCATGAAATAGCGGTGCAATGTTTCAATGCATTTGCTTGCATTCTGTCTTGTGACTGGCATCAACACGTTAGAGTTCTCTTCATCACTTCCATGGTCTTCTGTTGCTGTCGTGTGTTTCGCTGCTATTCGAGCAACAATGGCAGCATCGCATTCTTCATTTCCATCATAGAGTTGAAGTTCGTTGTCGATGGACAAAAATTCTTCATAATTTTCAACATGTTTCAGCTCCACATTCTCGCCGTCATTTTCATTTACAATCACCATTTCCACATCCATCTCCGAGACAATATGCTTAAAGCCACAGTGAGAAAAACAGTTCCGAATTGTCGCACTGCTCATTTTTCGCCAACTTTCGGCCACGAATGTAACGGCTTACAAAATGTTGACCTTTACACTGATTTCTCCGGCCGTCGAGGATGAGGTCAGCAAGCCTTCCTCAATTGATTCAAGGATGTAATTCACCAACGTTGAACGATAAAACGTCTTCAAATTTTTTATGATGCCCATGTCCATTGCCTGTATCAAAGATGTGGTCTTAAGAGGCAGAAATTCCATCTGGATATTGTTATAACGCTGTGCCCTTCACTTGACTGGACTGATTTGCGTCTCAACTGATTGATGTGCCTAATCCATTTCTCACGTCCAACCATCACCTCATAGATAACTCTGCCTTTCCTGCTGATAACAGTTCCGCTCAACCACCCCTTCGGCCTTCGAAAATCCCGGGCGTAAACCATGTCACCAATATTTAAATTACGGAGCTTGGTTTTGCAATCTTCCTCCAGGTGACTGTTGCCGTGCTTTTCTATTCTTCTTGGTAAAAGATTATCGAACAACGTCCGAATCTTTCTTCCAAATAGTGCTTCTGTGAGGGCCTTCCCATCAGGGGAGTTTGGATTCGGAGCGTTCCGATACATGCATAGGAAAGATTGAATTGCATCCTGTGAATCCCTTATTTGCCCTGCTTTACGGAGTGCACGTTTGAACGTGTCCACAAGCCTTTCCGCCTGTCCGTTTGATTGCGGATGATATGGTGGTGAGAACATCTGCTGAATTCCCTTTTGCTTGCACCACTCGCGAAAAGAATTCGAAGTAAATTGTGTTCCATTGTCTGTCACTAACACCTCTGGCAGGCCGAAGTATCGGAACAGCTTCTCTAGCTCGTTGACAGTGTGCTGTGCAGTCGGATTGTTTACCGGAATCACATCAGGCCACTTGGTGAATGAGTCAACCAAAACGAGATAGGATTGGCCATTGATTGGTCCTGCATAGTCTAAGTGTATTCGTTGCCACGGTTTCTCTGCCTTAGGCCAAGGTTGCCACTGACACTTGGGAGGAGCCTTCGCTGCAAGTTGACAAGATTCACACTGTTGGCAGAATTTTTCAATTTGCGAATCCATTTCTGGCCAGTAAACAAAGCTGCGTGCTAAGGCTTTCATGCGGCTAGTACCAGGGTGCCCCGTGTGGAACTGCTGCAACATTTGTCTCTGTAATTTCCTTGGCACCACCACTCGATCTCCA